GTATCTACATTACTATTTAAATTTATCATAAAATAAATGTTCGTTTTAAAAATTAAATGCCTATTTTTTTTTTCTAATTTACTATTAGTTATGAGATGTACAATTTTTTTTATCTTTATATTAAGGGTAAAATTACTTTTTGTAAATTAAAAAATGTAGTAGTTATTCATTTTGTGAGTCCTATGCATAGGGCTGGCAACGGTATAATATGGATAGGGTAAGAGTTATTTCGTTAATCTATTTAAGATAGCGGGTAACGAAATGAGTAATTATACATCTCATAAACCTATTATCCATTTACCTATTAAAATAGCGGGTAGCAAAATGTGTAAATGGATAACTGGTAAAACCAAATTTTATTTTGAACTATAAATGATATTGTTAAAACTCAAACATATATGCCAAACATATACTCATAAATAAAGTAACTATTTTATATCTAATTTTTTATAGTAAACATTTTAATATTAGTCTAAATATAATCATAGTATAATATCTTAAAAATAATATAAAAGTTATAAAACAACACTTTTCCCTGTATATAATTTTCGGACCTCATCTTGCTTCTCATTTAATTATCATGAACTCTTTTACTCGATATATATAAAGTAATAATGAAAAACCGTTTATGCATACCTTACCCACTAAAATTTCGGGTACTAGATAAGTGGATAAATTAATAAATTTTGTTTTTTTAACTATACTCTTATCAAACAGGTCGAAATATAACTGGTAACGGATTTTCCCTTATCCAATTTCAGCTCTACCTATGTATAATATAAGTTAAATAAACATATACATATTAATTATTAAATTTGATATAAAAGTCAAAAATATATATAAGACTAGTAAATTGTCACTTTACATCAATTTTAAGGTAAGAACTAAGATTCTTAGAGTATCTCCAACAACTTCTCTAAAATGGAGAAAATGAGGATTTTGAGCCAATATTTTGCTACAACAGCTTCCTCAAAACTTTCGCCAAAATGAAAAAATTGGGAATTTTGAGTTAATATTTTGCTACAAAAACTTTCCCAAAACTATTGTCGGAATGGAGAAAGTATGAGAGAGTTTTTCTCCAAATATGGAGATAACCCAACTAATGATTGCCAAATGAGACCACAAATAGACAACTTAGAAAATAAATATTTAGAAAGGAAAATAATATTTTAATATTATAATCAGTGTTGGATTCTCTAGAATAGAGATATTCGCTCGTTAGCCTGTCTGGCTCTCGATCTGCTTCAGTTCTAAAAACCTTTGGCAGCTAGGACTATTGCATTCGCATTACTTCGTTCTGCTAATGGAAATGAATGTAATTCTTTTTTAGATTTTAACTTTTGGTTCTTAATTTTATAATTTTTTTTAAGAATCTGTTGGAAATATTATTATACAAAAACTTAAAAGATGTGAGGTAGAATCTACGTTTTTGGGAAATTTATACAAATAATCAATTAATTAAAATGATCTCACTTTTTAGCCATCTTAGAAACATTTTTTCTTAAATAGCTGAAATTACAAAAACAAAACTTTATTCAAAAACGGATTTTATGTGCAAAATTTATTTTCAGGCAAAAAAAAAATAATAATAATTTAAAAATTAACTTTACTCACAAAGTGGAGAGTTTACGTAAAAAAGGAATTTTATCATCAATTTATTTTATGGTAAAGTTTTTAATTCATTAAAATAAATTACACACTATATCATTATAATTAGTTTTTTTTTAGCTTTTTTGTATTTCTTAATTTTTTTTATT